GTTATCCATCAAGGATCTTTCACTTTTGTCAGCGAAATAACAATGGCCTCTTAATTACACCACTGTGTGTGAAAGTGAGTGTGTATGTGTCGCTGTCGCTGTCTCTAAAATAAATGTGGGTATATTTTTTGCAGTGAGTGTGGGTGCAGGAAATTGAACATTGAGAGAATTTTTAATGGTAAAATCAATAAAAATTGGATTTAATTATTCTTAATAATTATTATTTCAATTCAAATACTGAGATTTATTGTCTATAAAATCTAAGAAATTGTAAAATTTCTATTTTAAAATCCTGTATTTTTTTCCAGTGTCAAATGCAGGCTTGTGCAAGTGTTTGTTTAGTCAGATGTTTGCTTGACACTTTCCTTGGGCTGCCTTTGCTTGGCAGCTTTTCCTTTGGGCCAGCACTTGTTGGCAAGTTTTCTTTTGCGTTTTTTTTTCTTCTTGCCATTTTGCCAGCCTCTGGATTCCTTTTCTTTCCTTTCGGCCTTTGACTTTGACTTCGCCCGGTTTTGGTATAATGAGCACACACATCTGCTGCTAGTGTGTGGCATGTGAGGATCCTCCGACAGGATGTTAATTTCAATTTAAATGCCGGCCAGCTCCTTGAGTCCTCGGCCCCTGAAGGCGAATGTCTCAAGCAACTTTGTCCGGCTCTCGGGTCAACTTCCTTGGCGCACTTTTGACGCTGTCCTGCAATTGCATTTGTCGAGGACCAAAGACCACTCACTGCCTGGGGCCCTGGCGCTGTGACTTTAATTGGATTCTTTGACCGCCCAAAAGTTGGAAATGAATTCATTCTGTTGACTCTCGACTCAATCTGGCTTCCTGGAATAATAATCCTGAATATACTCCTGATCCTGGGCCCTTCCACTTTTCGGCTAATTAAAATGGCATAAACAAACAGGCTCTCCTTAGTCAGGCATTTACATTAGTGAGTTATCGGCGGATATATATAATTATATAGCACACCGTGATGACGCCGCTCTGACAGCCCATAATTCACACATCGAACTTTGGCGGGGTTACGGTCTAAATCTAGGAACAGCCACGGAAATCACGTACAGCCAGGACGAAAGTTGCCGGGATCCTTGGCATTATTGTCTTTTGAGCTAACCCAGTTCCCCATTGCCCCTCCTCTGCCATCGACCACAACAGCTAATTAACGTTAATTTATTAAATCAGTGAGCAAGTAAAGGCATCCGAGCAAGTTTCTGTGGAGGATGGGCGAGGGGATGGGGGGCAAAGACAGCGCCAAGAGCTGCCGGAGATAAAAGTTGCACACGACTCGGCGTCGGGCTTGAGCTCAGGCTTAAGCATTCTGGGTTTTTTCCATACCCTGGAATTTAAGGATTTTAGGGTATATTGGTTAAGGATAAAAATATATTTGGATTGGATAATTTAAAGGTAAGAATGTTTTATAAAAATCCAACAATATCAAGTGGAGAATCATAATGTTTTCCTTTTTAATTCTTAATATTTTAGAATGTTTTAAAACATTTTCTTAGAGCATCAAAAAACCTCAAAATAAAGGCCTTTAAATATTCTAAACAATATTAAAATAGTAAGGGGTTTAAAAAGAGAGTTTGAAAACTCCTTAATCACAATCATTTCTCCCTCTCTTTAAGGTATTTCCTAGTTGTTCTCCCCCAATCTGGGTCGTCTTAGCATTCTTACTTGTCTTAGCTGGAAAAGCATGAAAACCACACGCAGCAATTATTAATTCAATTATTTTAGCGCAAACAGCCACCTCAGACTAGGAGCAAGAGTCCTGAAGTCCAGGACCAAGACGCAGGAAGCTGCGCGGCATAAATGAGTTCTCTGTGTGAGTGTCTGTGCGGGGCGAGTGGATGAAATAGAGTAGCACAAACACAATTAAGACAACACTGCCAAGGAGCAAAGGGAATGGCGGATTCAGAGCGAATGAAAGGAGAGCAAATAAAGTGGCAAATTTAATTAGGAATCAGCACAGAAAGAAGAAGTGCAGGACTTGCTGCTGCTCCTACTCCAGATATACCTGATGGGTCCACCCCCACATACATGGCTAACCGGACATGTGAATTAATAACAGCATCCGTTTCCGGTCAAAAATGGAGAGGAAGTCGGTGTGGGAAGCCCACCCTGTGGAATTATAATAATAATATTAATAATGAGTGGCCAAAAAAGCAGCAGCAAAAAGGCGGACTGCAAACGGCGGCCAACGTGTCCGTAACAACTTCCGGAATGAAGTTTGACATTTTATTGTCGCCGGAAAAGTTTCCCCCCGGGGGGAAAATAAAGCGATGCCCCGCCGAATCTAGGTAAATTGTAAAGTGCAAAAGTTTCGCCAAGTTGAAGTCACCTGCTCGGGTTCCCAAACTAGCTAGGATTTGGAATTGTACGAGAGGGAGGAAACAAATCGAAATGGAGTCCCTTTTGTTTCAATTCCAGGACAATTGGCCCAGACACAGGACCAAGGAGGATGGAGCTCCTCATCAGGCATCAAGGTATAATTTGGCCGGGGACTATTTCATTTTACGGCCAAAGTGGCGCATTTGCATAAAGTTTTATTTTCTTTGACCCGCACTTGGGGATTTCTTTCCTTTGGCCACTGTCGCGTCGTCCTTTTGCTTTTGCTCTCCGCCACCACACCCCCCGGCCATCGTCCTGGCTGATTTCCATTCGTATTTCGTCTACTTTGTCGCCAGGAAGTGATTTCCTGCAGCTGCAGCTATTGAAATTCAATATCTCCACCAAAGCAGGGGAGCTGGAAATCCCCCGGGGGTTGGCAATGGTATGCCAGCTCCTTAAAGCCCTGGATCAGCTTTAACAAGTGTTTTCACGCACACACACATCAGTCAATATACTGCCGGCGAAAGGTAATTTGAAAATCAAACAAGCAGCGACTCCTTGGCAAATCCTTTCAATTGCTGCAATTTACTGGATAAATAGGATCAAAATCGAATTTAAACGGCAAACAAATTTTTCCTGATTTCCATTTTGTTGACAGAACTTTTCACTTATGTTGCCGAATAAGCAGATTATGCCGAGATAAGGGTAGACAAGACATATATATCGCACACACCTACCGCCCACAAGAGGGTAAATATGAAGGCCACGCCTGTTTATCGCATTTTAAATATGGAAATTTGCAGAGAAAGGAAATAATACGGAATTGTATATTGTATTTTCTTATTGTTTAAGCTTTAAAGTGAGGTAAAAGGTTTTTATTTTACTTGAGAATTTGTGAATTTAAAACACAAATCTTATATAACTTTTTTAGATTTTTATTGTATTTTAATATATATCTGTTTTTTTCTATTAAAACAATATTTTTTCATCCATTTTGTATACCCTTTAGGTTGCGTTTTTAAACGCCTCAAAAATATTTTAATTAAATTTCACATTCGCACTTGAACGGTTATCCCTGCGGCAAGGCAAAACTATTTACGTGCCTCGAACAAAAGTGAAATCATTCGATTTTATTTATTTTCACTCGAAACTGAAAACTTTTCACCCCAACTGCTCCCCTGGAAAAGAAAACTTGCGCAAAAAGGCAACCGAAAACTTTTAGAGAAAACTTTCTTGGTTGCCTCAGTTTAAGCCTCCTCGTTCCTCCTTTTTCCCCACAAACATAAACAAGATTAATTTCACATGTTTCCCAGAAGGTGGAGCAGGGGGGGTGGAAAAGCTGCTCGAGTTATTACTTTGATTATGTTTATTCTAGTCATGAAATCCAAAGGCCCGTTTCATGTGCACTTCATTTAATAAACCCCTGCCAGCGAGCAAGGAGGCGCGAAATGATTTCCATGGCATTTTTGCCAGCTCGTTCAAGTTTTCCTCATTTCTTGTGTGATTAGCCAAGTGAAAAAACAAGAGATTAGAGCTTAACTATTTCCAACTTCATTTGGGAGTGGATATTATCCATACGCGTGGGGAGAATGGGAGTTTAGTGAGGTGAGATGAAAGGATATACTTGTCATTAGTGTATGGTGATTTGTTGAATAAATCTTGAATATCTTTGAATTTAAGAAATAATAAATTCAAATTCATTTTAAGGTATCTTTCAGAACCCTTTAGAACATCCTACTTTCCATTTAAGACTAGTTCACAGGATCCTTGCTACAAAGCTCTTTAATTTAGTCGCTTATCTCGGCCCTGTCTGTGATCTTTCCACTATCTGCCAATTGCCTGGCAAATTTGGCCAACATCCAATGCACGATTCCGTCAGCAGGCTGACGCACATCTATATATCTCAGTTGGTGCAATCTGTGGCGACTCTTAAGTGCTTTTAATTATGTCCACTTAAGTCTCAATATCGCCCAGCTTCCGAAGCGAGCAAATCACACACAAGAGCCACACGCGTCGACATCGCGATGGAAAACAGGAAAAGCAGAGGCGGGAAATTCCCTTCTTTCCGCGCTCGGCGCACTCTAAATAAAGCATAACAATTTATGAAATTTTAATTTTTACACTTAATAACACGCCGAGTTATGGGCGCGCCAAGTGAAACGGCCCAAGCGAATTTTCACCACGGCCTGGCAGTGCTTATAGAGACATCATCATCGTGAGACGCCCGGGCAGGAGGCCCCACCTCCGGATTCGGTTCGGATTCGCATTCGCCTCCGGGAGTGGGGCATCTTGTGTGGCGCAATGTTGCAGACGTTGGGCGCAATTAGAGACGCTCGGTGCCCGCTATATTTGGCCACCGGCGGACCAGCGGATTATGCCATAAGTCTACCGGGGCCTCACGTGCCCCAAAAAATAATGAAAAAATCGCAAATCGAGGACTAATTCCAGACACTTAAAATGCACTTTTGGGCTGGAAAAGTATTCCCACATCAGGCAATGATCTATTTCATTTAAATAACTACCATTTCTCTAATTTGTTAATTTTTATTATGGAATTTGTAATGTTATGTTTACAAAATATTACCAAAACTCTTAATGGCAATTAATTATTATTTTCTGACATCCCTGCGATTTGTACACTATTTCTGTTATACCGACACTCGCGTCGCTTTCCAAACTTATCATATTTATTTACAGAGATTAGTGCCAAAATGTAGGCGAAACTGAAAACACTGACCGACCCAGAATTCAAAATTTTATCCTGTGTACAAATTTAAAATCCTGGTCGGTCCATTGAATATCATGTGTCCCCCGAGTTTGATTTCTGACTTCCCGATGAACGACGGTGAATTTTTGATTTGACGGTGGGAATCGGGCAGGCGGATCGGCTACTGATCCGCTGGATCCACCACTACCTCGCTGGGTGTGTCCTGACTGTCACTGGGGGCTAGTTGACCGACCAACTGGTCGATCAGTCCCTGCTGCTGTTGCTCCAATTGGTCTTGGAGGCGTTGCTGTTCGGCCTTCTGGCGGGAGGTCAGCGACTGGAAGAGATGCATCTGCTTCAGCAGCTCTGGCTCATCGATTCCAGCTGCCATGCGCCTGATGGGAGTCCTGATGCTTTTGATTTGGTTATTGTTATTATCAGTCACTGGCGATTCTTGGATTTGGAGAGGCTTATCGTGCTGGGATTCTCCTCCGTCTACGCGGCTAATGGGTATCCTGAGGCTCTTGGAAACTTGATTGTTGAAAGTCTGCTGGAGATCAAGTGATTGGCAGAGACTCTCCTGCTGTTCCTTCTCCGACTTTTCGAAACCCATTTTCACACGCCTAATGAGGGTCCTTATACTTTTGGGAACTTTGCTATTATTTTCATCAGTCTTTGGCGTTTCCTGGATTTGGAGACGCTGCTGCTCGAGTGAAGATTCCACTACTTCAACGCGCCTAAAGGGAGTTCTAATGCTTTTGGAAACGTGGTTATTGTTATTATCAGTCTCTGGCGATTCTTGGATTTGGAGATGCTGCTGCTCAAGCGTAGATTCTTCGGCTTCCACTCGTCTAATGGGAGTCCTATTGCTTTTAGGTTCATGGTCATTGTTGTTATTGGTCCGCAACAATTCCTGGATTTGGAGACGCTGCTGCTCGAGCTTGGACTCCCCTCCTTCCGCGCGCCTGATGGGTGTCCTAATGCTCTTTGGGACTTGATTGTTGTAAGTGTTCGTCGATATTGGCTGCTGATCAAGGGATTGAAAGGTATTCTCCTGTTCCACCTCTGGCTTCTCAAAAACCATTTCAACACGCCTGATGGGAGTCCTGATACTTTTGATTACTTGGTTACTATTGTCAGTCTTCGGCGATTCCTGGACTTGAAGACGTTGCTGCTCGAGTGCAGATTCTCCTACTTCCACACGCCTGATGGGAGTTCTGATACTTTTAGGAACTTGGTTATTATTGTTATCAGTCCTTGGCGATTCCTGAACCCGAAAACGCTGCTGCTCTACCATAGACTCCCCTACTTCCACTCGTCTAATGGGAGTCCTGATGCTCTTTGGGACTTGGCAGTTAGTAGTCCTTGGTGGTGGCTTTAATTTAGCTAGCTCCTCGCGTTTCCTGGTCATTTCATTGCGCTTTAAGGCCACCTTGGCCCCATAGCTGCGTCGCCTCTCATTGGCATTATCGGACTTCATGCTGTTCCGCTCTTGAAGGGAGCCATGTCCTGACGCCGTTATAGTAACCTCCGGAGGCTGAACCGTGGGCAGGACCGTTGCTCGATGGCGCCATACGGGTATCTGGCTGCGAAACTTACGTTCAGGAGTCTTAGGAGAAGCTTCAGGGATCTGGTTGGAGCTGGGAAAGACCTCTGGTCGCTCAGGCAATCGCTCCTGGCTGGTCAGTTCCCTCAGATCAATGGTAGTGCTGGAGAATGTTTTGGGCACCCAGCTGGACTTCATGGTACCCAACTCCACAGGCAGGATCACTGCTAGCTGCGGTGCATCCTCAATAATCACTTGGGTTGCCGTTGAAATGGGCAGCGTCTTGGGTGGAGCAATCTCTACTAGCTCTTTTGTGCTGTGATCATAGACAGCGGTTTCCGATTTTTGCAGTTCCTGCCGGAAGCGACCCATCACAATCAGGGGAGCAGGTGTGAAAATGGGTAGTGGAAAAGTGGAAACGGGAACGGTATTGGAATTAGGAATAGAATCAAGATTGGGACTCGGATTGGGATTCTCAGTCAGTGCGGTATTAGTGGAGGCGTTAACCATGCGTGGCATCAGGCGCTTCAGCTGCTTCTCTGCGTCATTCAGCTTGTTCCTCTTCAGGATCACCTCTTTGGTTAAGGCTCGCAGGCGCAGCTGCTGCATCTCCAGTCGTCTTACGTCGGTCATCTGAGTGTTAAATATATATTTATTAAGCCACTAAAATAATAAAAATTAATTGAAATACCCACCAGAGGCGGCAGAATGCTTTTCCCATCCAGGCTGTAGGCCGACTCGAATGTCTCACCCAGGCTGTCCAAGTCCTCTTGGACAACCAGAAGTTTGGATATTTGCAGCCGGAACTCGTTGTTCATTGTGTAAAATTTGCAAGTATAAAATATTCTATGTGTTCAACGGTGAAATAGTTTAAGGAAATGTTTCACTTGTGTGCTGTGTTGAGTAAAGTAATAGAATGGAATACAAGGTAAAAGAATGTGTTGGGGAACCCAAAGCCAGTGACAGATTAAAATGAGTGTGTTTGCAAGGCATGCTTTTCTACAAAACTAAGAAAAATATATAAAAATTTATTTCTAGAAGAAGGTTTGGGGATTTTGTAAATATTTCTAAAGGGTAACACTTTTTAAATGTCACAAAATTCTTTATTTATTATCCTTGAGTCCCAGCATAAAGATTTCTCCAAGTGCACAACACATGCAATCCTCATCCATTTGGCAGTCCGTGTTCGTAGCTGTGACAGTCCACATCCGGACGGAGGCTGACAAATGCGCCGCTCGTCGCCGGAGCGTGCCGCAAAAGGTACGGACCACTCGGGCATTCGAGCGTGGAGCAGCAAACAAGGCGCCCAAATAAAGTCCACTCCATTACCGGCAGGACTTTCGGTTGTCCCAAGTCCCGGCCAAACACAACTAAGGTATGGCCAGCCGGTCGTTTGGACTTTTGGGGGGAAATTTGTCTTGGCCGCTTGTAGGTGTGATTTGTTTTTTAAATTTCTGGCTGTTCGGGGGGTTTTGAGTTCCTCGAGAAACTGGCCAATTTGTCTCCCCGTTCTTTTTATTTGCCAACAAAGTCACGTAGCCTTTTCACTTGCATGCAGACTTGCGACATGCGGCAATTTTCCACTAAATTTGCCATGTCAAACATAAGTATTTCCAACCGAACAACAGCAACCTGCTTGCTCTGCTCATAAAGAATTCAAATTAATACATTAACAGCCTCGGATAAGCGAGCTTTGGGGAAGGGGAATCCCAGGTAATAAACGCCGAGATGTTCGTGCCAAAGTCTCGAAAGTTTCGCTCGCAGGCAATTTGCTTCAAGTGGCAATTCGGGAGCGTGCCAAGTGCCTTGGTAACGGTAACAGCCCAGGGATAACGACGGAAGGCTGACGTGGGTTAAGGTGGAGGCTTTTACGGGCTAACCGCCGACACCACAAAAGGTATTTATCTCATTGTGCGTAGATTAAGAGCTGCTCTCAAATTAGGTGAGTGTCGTCACGTGATGAAGATAAAGCTGAAGGCGGCAAACCAAAAGGAAGTTGGGGTAAAAGGTGGCAAAAAACAGGAACCAGACTTCACAAGGACTTGAGCTTAAATTTAAACTGAGATAAGCTTTGACTTGTCTGTTTAATTTTTTTAAGGTAAAAATATAATATTTAAACAACGAATCTTATCAGAACTAAGCTGCATTCGTCTCCATTTCCACCTCTGGCTATGCAAAGCTTAACCCCTTGATGGCCCTGTACCCATCCCTCTCCGTCTTTGTGCTAAATCCTAACCAAAACCAGACCAAACTCAGCCAGACTCTGCTCCGGTTACACTTCATAAATTTAAAGAATTATGAGCCGTGACGCAGACGGAAGCGGAATGCAGCCGCAGTGGGAACACGTCCGTCGCCAAGTGGCCAGGACTCTCGCCAGGACTGGCATTGTGAAGTGAACCACGGGAGGGAGGTCAACAGGTAATAACGGTTGCACGATTGGTTGGTCCCGACAATTTCTGCTGAATTTATGTTACAACCTCAAGTGGAGCGAGGCGACGGCTATCTGTATCTCCTGGATCGGATTACGGTCTACGGCTCCCGTTTATACTTTTTATTTTACGAGAGAATATCCCTGGTTTTATGGCCGGACAATCGATGGCATTTGAGCATTGATTTTCGCCACGCAAAGAGTTTTTTCGCCGGGGAAAGTTCAAGACTGAAGTTCAAAGCTTTTTCATCGCTTTAATTGAGTTGCCGCAGGCTCATGCATATGCAGGGCTCAATTAAAAGTGCGCCAAGAAAAAGCGAAAGACAAACAAAAACCGGTGAAGGAGACGAAGGACGACGACTCCTTCGAGAGGGTGAGAAAATGTCTGCAAGTGACTCGCAGTCGAGTCGCTGTCTGTTGACATTTCGCGGTATGGAAAAAATTAAATTAAAATGCAAATTAGGCATTCCTGAGGAGTCTGGCTCTGTGGCATCCAACTCCTTGAGTCCTTGAGAGGCAAAAGTGACAAATTGTTGTAAACACTGCAAGTTACGTATACGCCTCGTGGGACCCCGACTGTCACCTACGAAATAAGGGTCTCGCTCGCAGGAGAACTCTACCTTATTGTATACATATTTTATCACAGAGCCAAGGAGCACCGACTTAGGGCCAAGATGAATGTTTTTATTTCTGCCGCCGCAGCTTGCTGCCTGCTTTCTGCGGTCGGTAAATTATGCAAAGTAGTTGCGTAATGCTCTTGTTACAATAATTTAATCTTGTAATCTGTTTCTGTTCGACTGCCGCCGCTCTCCCTCGGCAAGTGCCATAAATAATTCAACTGGCCTGCTGCAGATGCCACCGAAAGCCCAAAGGCTGCCGAAAAGGAAATATCCTTGAAGGAATCTTTGCATTTTTAATTTCAAGGTAAACAAGCGCAGATAACTTTGCCGCCAGAAACGGAATCCTAATGAGCCTCTCAAGGTGGTCTCCAGGATTGACATTTCAGCGGGGCTGAGCACGTTAATTCAATTTCCGGGAGCTGAAACAAAAATAAAAGAAGAAGGCACAAAGTTTATCCAGTCAACCCCTTTTATGGATTTTTTTTTCGGCTAGAGAAAGGGGATATTAACGAACCCCATTTGTGGCAGGCTAATTACGCCAAGCTCAACCCCTTGAAGAAGTCTTGAAGAAGCATAGGTTAGTACTTCTTTAACTTATGAAATACTCTATGGTAAAGATAAGGAGCTCAACCTAATTACTCCCTTTCTGCATCATTTTCAGTAGTTCTTTAAGCAGCACACATCAGGCCATAAATCAGCTGCCAAAAAATGTATGTAAATCCACCGACAAAAAAAAAACGAAATCGCAGACAACGTAAAATTTCAATAACATTCCCGGCGTGTCTTGGCCTCCTGGCACAAGGTGCACAGAACACACACACAAACACCCAGAAGCAATAACATTCACAGGATGTGTCTTTTCCTGGTGAAAATGGAGAAGGAGAAGGAGAAACTGGATCCCAGCGGAAGCAATACACGTTGACACGTCGCACGGATACAAAATGTGGCGCAGTTAGTTCCGCCGTTTCGCTGGAGACAAAGGACGGCGGCGTAATGTAACGGAAACTCTATTGAATTGCGATAAAAATCGCGTTTGCCAATGCTACTCCCCTTTGAACCGCTCCGTCTCCTTCGACCTGAGTCCTGCAGGATTGCAGGAGACACGGGTTTAGCCATTTTAAAGCATACTTTGCGGCTTGTCAACAGGCGGCAAAATTTATTGCAAATGTACGCCAAAAGAGTTGCACGAACTTGAGAGTTGTGTGTGTGTTTAGAGGGGTGTGTTGGCTATATCAGTGATTTTGGTATAAGTTTGAGGAATTTAAGGTTTATAGGGAGGTAGATAATGGGAGTTAAATTCTTGATTTGAAGCAAGAGGGCCTATTTATTTATAATTTTCTGAATCTTTGGGCAAGATAGAGGATCATGAAGCGGTCGAACTATTTAAGAATAATCGAGTTAGAAAAGGATTAGGAATTAATTTAATAATTTTAATAATCTATATCCTTTATACCCAATCCTTGAAGTGTATCTAATATTCCAGGTGTTTTTCTAGGACTCTCCCATCTTCTCACTTCTGGGTCCCCTGTTCCTGCTGACAATGTTATCGTTACGGTTATTGATTGAAATTTTTTACACTTTGCTTGTTGCCACATTGCCTTCCCCTTAACCCTCTATTTTTTTGGCCAAGGGTTAAGTGAGAGAGCGACAGCTGTTGCCAGAGCTCCAGCTTCTCCCTGTTTTTTCTTGATTTGACAAAGAGTTGAACCAGCCAAGGAACGAGCAGCTATCATCTGGAGCAGGTATGCCTGGTCTGGCTCCTTGGTTTCCCCCCAAAGGCCTCTGCCGTTGTACAGCTGGCCTACACGCACATCCTGTCACTCGCAGGACCTTCGCCAAAAGGACCATTCACATCACCTACACAGTGGCAGCGGAGACGCACAATGGCCACATCAATTGTGCATTTCATTTAACTTGCCACGCCCGTGTGACTTTTAAGTGTTGCCGTATACGGTCCACCCTGGCCACCTCCCCTTAACCCTCTAAACTCACTATTTAACCCTCCCTGCCCTGGGATGTACCGAGTGCTGGACATGACAGCTTCTGCATGAGCAACTCGCACTCTCTCTCTGGCCCCTATGGCAAACATGTTGCTGCCAAAAGGCCGAAAGCCGAAAGCCAAAGCCAAAGCCCTTGTCCGTAGGTTTTTAGGTGTGTTTAGGTATTATCTTGTGCTGAACGAACTGAGGGGGCAGGGAGAAGGTGGGGGCTGGTGATGAGCATGTGGCAACACCCAGCTAGCAACCCACCAAACACCGCCCACAGCAAACTTTGTGTGCGTTTGTGTCATTGTTAAATTTTGCGCTCGAACGATCTGCAACGGATGACATCCGTATGGCAGGCAAGTTACTTTTTGATTTACAGTATGCTACTTTTTATGCCCCTTGGCCATCTAGGGGTTAAGGGTATATTGGTTTTTGGGAGAGGTTTCATTAAAATCTTTTAAAATTAACAAGAAACAAAGTTAAAGGGTAAATTTGGTTCTTAACTGCATTTTTATTTCGAATTAAGAATAAGTTTTATGTATATTCTCATTAATAAATAAGATAATGCAGTAACAATTAATCGTATTTCCTAATTTTAAAATTATAATTTGACCTGTTTTATAAGTTATTTAATACTTAATATCAATTTGTATCTTAAATTATAAAAGAGAAATCTGATTACGGGGTATTCCGTATTTATAAGACTTTTCTAAACAATTTCTAACTGGTGGTTCATCAAACGCTTAGCTGCCTGGCTCGAACCCTGACCGTTGGACCAGTTTCCTGCCCCCCCCCTCCGAAAAATCCCTCCTGTCCAAGGTGCAGCAAAGGTTGTCACAAGTCGCCCGCCTGTCGTTTGCTGGCTGTTGGTTGTCGGTTGTTGGCTGTCGTTAGCATTTGGTTTAAATTGCGCAAAATGCGTGTAATTGCTGGAACTGACGATTGA